AGTAAGGTTGCATTCTGACTCTCATCCTAAATACTTGCTTGTGAAAGAAATAACTGTTACAGTTCTTTTCAGGAAAATTGTACGACAGTCCACCAAGTGTTAAGTTTCTGTCTTACTCAAACCATACTTTGACTGATAAAACAGATCAAATTATATTTACTGAAGGAGGAGTAGGCTACTATGCGTCGCCAGATACATCCTTGACTTATGATTCATTGTAAAATGATGCTTCAGTTTTGTGTTTTTCCAACCATTTGCGTACTGCTGTTTACTTTATATTTAGTATAAATTTAGGGGTGCTTTCCTCATCAAATGGTGCAACATTTGTTTTGTTTTGTCAATAAAGTTGGAATTGCGTGGCTGTAGTGTTCAAACACTAATCAAGCCATGTTGGTTCCAAGTAACTGTGAGTCACTCCTTCATGCGGATACTGTACTGAAGATATTTGTTCTGCACTGAACTAGAAACAATGCAATGCAAGTTGTTTAGCTATAAATTTTATTTTTTTTCACATTGAAGGATGCTGTTAGGTTCCTGATGCTGCAAGAGCAGAACCTGAAGCAATTAATTGTTTTGTCTTCTTGTTGCTTCTTTAAAAAAATTTATTTTGGAGGGGTTTGGTTAACGGTTAACAAGAATACCAATACAAGTAGACAAACAAAACAATCACTATCTTCATACTTTATTGCTGAAAGTGAAACACAAGTCTATTAGGGACATCTATACTTTCTGCAATTTTCATGTGTAGTTAGACTAATAAAAATATATATTAAGAAAATTGGCTGTAGGAAACTGCTTTTGTACATATGTATTTTTTAAATTATTTTTTTTTACAATGTTTTATGTACCATAGTATCACTAATGACACTTGTGCATACTCATTATGTTTAGACAGGATCAATTACTTGAGTCTATACAATTTGATTTGGTATGAGCTTAGAACCAAGGAGTTTTTTAGGGACGGTATCAGTCTCCACTCACCTTTTCTCTCCTTCATAATGTAATATGGCACACAGAGGTCCTCTGTTAATTTTTTTGCTTCTATGTTATAATCCTGTCCGCAAAATTCTAATTTTAATGATTTCCCTGTATAATAAAGGTGTTTAAGTTTATTTGAATTATTTGAAAGTTGAAACCAATGTTATTTCTTTACATTTTATCATTTTAAAAGGGAAAAAGAATCTCTGTACGTTGCAGAGAATTGTATTTTTATAGTATAGACCTGTAGTTCAAATTGAAATTGTGAAGATTCATGAATTAGAATGGCGGAACATGTAATAAAAATCCATCTTGTCCTTAAAGTAAAGAGCTTTTTGGTTTCAAAGTTTTTGTTTCCTGTTTTCTTAAAATTTACTGCTATGGGGCTGTGTAAATGTAAGTTTCTAAAAGGAACATGCAATTATAATTTGATCATTTTTGTTGTCCTCGTCCTACGTGTTTTCATCTTCTCTTTGTCTTTTCGTAACGGTACCATAGAAACTTTTCCTTGGCGTCACTACCCTGCATTGTGAAGGATACACTGCGTGTGACTTTTAAGGAAGTAAAGAGCCACCAGAAGATGTAAAGGAATTACTTGTACAAATGTTATGATCATTACTGGAAACTATTGTGTCTTGTTTCGATCACTTTTTTTGCAAAAATTCAAAAGCTCAGACCTTTTTTATTCCTTGAGCTGCAACAAAAGTGAAGGCTACAATTTTTTCAGAATAAAAAAGTTCTACAGCATAACAGCATCAAATCCTGATCTCAAAGTTAGAACAGATTTGGTTTGGACTCCCAATCAAATTGTGTAGAGTGTTGCAAAAGTCAAACTGTAACTGTAACATAGAACTTGTGTCATCTCTTATTCTTATAACTTATTAATATATATTATTGGAGCCGAAGTAGGAACTACTGCAATCGAAACTTACTTTTGCAGTAGGTGGGCAAAGAGTTTTTTAAACTGTAATAACTTAAAACATGGATTAACAAAATAAATTCCAACTCCTTCTCAACGCCCATGTTCCGTGACTTTCTATCTTGCACAGGTTTCAGGATTTTTCGACTTTGGCCATGGTGTTTACAGTTTAGCAGAGCTAGCTTTCTGAAGTTGAGACAAAAACTGCCTGGAGAGGGTCTTGAATTGAAGGGGTTAAAAGTTAAACAGCTTTTAATCTTTGTTGCAGTACGTTTGAATTCAATGCTAAGGATGTTTTATCTGTTATTTTTATTTTTTATTTTCAAAGAGGGAAAGTGTGAGAGAAAGACAGGAGTGAGAGGAAAATTATGCCTGAGTCTGAGATCATGAAGAAGCTGGAGGGAGGAAAAGTGTGCCGTTGAAAGATATTAGAATGCATTCCTCATCCTGGCATCATATAATGCAAACATTTACTATTAGTATAATAACTGCTCGTTTTCACTTTGATTTTTAGCATTTCAGAAGTACACATTTTTTTCATTTGCTTGATAAAAAAGTACATTATTATGTAATTGGTTAATGTTTCTTTTTGCTGAAATAGCAGACTTTAATCGTCTTGTTATATTATAATTATTATAATATGTATTATAAATGTAAAGAATTGTGCATACTTTTTTGGGTTGGAAATAAAAAAAAGTCATTGACAAGAATATTTTAATGATAACAAGAGGTTTTTTTTTTTTAAAGAAATAAAAATGAGTCAACTACAAAGTAAATTGTTTAGTATTACTCATTTTTACACAGGTGTTGGTCTCATTCTTCCCCTGCTTATAGTTTATAGTTAACCTTTAAACTCAGGGGTATTTTTTTGTTAGTCTATGGTGTGAGTTCTTAATTTAACATCACATCTAACACATGTTACCAACTTGAGACGGGATACATTGTTTTGTGTCCAACTTTCCATTGCTCTTTAAAGTTACCTACACTGATACCAGTACCAGTCGCTCAAGTCACTCTTTTCTCTTTAAAATGGATATATCAATATATTTGAACATGGAAAAGACTAGGGAGACCAGGATCCTCCTAGTCCTAGTTGTATTAAAATTACAATAACATGTTTAAAAATTAAACCATTTTCAAAGGTTTCAGCATCAAAATTTCCAAAATGCTCTTTTTGTGTCCTACAGAGATGCTGGTCTAAGTCTAAGTAGAGCTATCTTGCTTTCAGAATTCTTCTAGAAGCATAGAAAAAGGTGTCTTCTTGAAACATGAGCTTCAGGGCTGATACATTATACAGTAGGGCCTATAGATAACCCACTGTTTTAGCCCTTAGAAATTCCTCGAATCTAATTAAAACAGTCTTTCTTGGGTGTTGTGCTCAATAGCATGCGTAGCCTCAGGTACTGGTAGGACCAATTTCTACCTAGACATTTTTTAGGCATTTTTTGAGCATCAAGTGTGTCAGTGAAAAATCAAAATAATTAGTTTTTGTGTTTTATGCCCCACCGGACACAAATTAGACCATATCAGATTATCACTCAGAAAAAGCTTCACATCTGGCAGGATTTGATTTTGATTCCAGGTATAAATCTAAGAAATTTCAAAATGAACCTAAGAATCAGTGGCCAGGTAGTAAGTTGGTCTCTTTCACTAAGGCATACACTAGAGATACAACGCACATTTTATTCTTTTTTATTTATATTATAAGCCAACAATTTGGTCATTATAAAACTGATCATCACACTAAGTCTGCAGTATACTGTATTACATGTATTAGATCTAGTTTTAGGTCACTAGGAAAGCATTGAAATAAAATTAAGACAAGTCAGAAAATACTGTTTAGAAGAAGATGTGAATCATGTGATTAATGTGAATGAACCCGGAACCCGTCACCCTGTGTGAACCGGCATAAAAGCGCATCGCAAATAATTTCCCTGCTCTCCCTGGCTTAGTTGTCTGGGGAGACCAGGTCTCGGAAGACACTTCCTTTGAGCATTTTGTTCCCTGTTTTTTTGTGCTTGGAGACAACATTATAAATGTACTACAGTGGAATCCACTTATTACGAGTCCTGAGATAACGAGAAGTCTGTTATAAAGTCACTTTTCTAAAACCCCATTTTTTCCCTTCTTTATCTTTGTAAATATACTAATATAACGCAATCAGACTAACACTGGAGTCGGTTATACCGGAATATATCTGCTGCTGTGCACAGCGCATATGCTATTTATTCATGTAAAACCTTGCCAGTTGAGAAACTTGTTGGTTATCTTGCGAAACAAAGAATGGGAGAGCCCACGAGTGCCAACAATGAAGGTCGGATTGAATGGGGTGGGGAGAGTGTGGCATGCACAGACAAGCAGAACGCATCATGTGACAGGCCAGCCTAGTCTAAATTATCTAGGCCTATTATGCCTCTCTCTTCTCCGACGTGGTGATGGAGAGGTCATTGTGATGTACAGAGCGAATGTGTGACGTGGCGGGGTGTGGTATGTTCCCATTGTGCGCAAGTAGACGGAACGCACCACAGGGTGTGGTGGGGTGGGGGACAACACAGCGGGCGAGTTAGCCAAGAGAACTTTCTCTCTGATCGCCAAC